GTGTGTGTGTGTGTGTGTGTGTGTCCATATGCATGGGATTCCTCAAAGTCCAGCTAAGGAAAGAGTCGGGAGAGGGTGGTAAAAAAGGAAGAAGGGCAGACCGACAGTTGCCACTTCGAAGCCTGCAAGCCAGAAAGCGGCGTACGTTTTTGAAAACAAACTCCAAAACCATTCCTAAAGTTGAAAATTGTCAATTTAGATGACTCTGAGTCTGATGACATGATACATGTATGATATTGCTTTAGATACCCTAAAGTTGACACTTTTTACTCTGGCTGATACCATAAGTACTGAGAACTGAGAACGTTGCACTGGTTAATGTTGAAAAGGTTTCTTTAAATGCAAGAAAGAAAATCTATAGCCCGATGTGTGGGTATTGTGGGGCAAGAAGTAGCCTACAGGGTGATTATGACGTGGAGGTAGGCTACAGAGTTTGCGCTAAAGTGAAAAGTTCGCGAAACATATGAGAAGTGAGAATTGAGAAGCCACTTTTGTGGATCATATTGCAAGTGTATAGGCTGTCCTTTACCTGTGATTAGGCAGAGAGTTTCACGCAGGTACCACCCCAAGAGCACAGAATGAGGTCTTCTCCAAAGAAAAATCTTGACACCTGGCTGAGATTTTATAAAGCCTCATGTGAATTAGTTAATGAGGCCTGGTTCGGTATTTTAATGCATGGGCTATTGTTTACTTCAACTGGTTGCTTCTTTATTCCATATCCACACAAGAGTATTTAAAGAACATTTGTTTCATTGTGTGGCTCGTTTCTCCCCCCACACCTCGTTCATTCTATCCAACACAATAACAATTTCCAAATCCTCACCTGCGTACGTACACTCATTTGGAACTTCGATCAAAGCAGTCTGCTGTGATAGGCCTGTCAGCTTCAAACTTTGTTTTTAATAACATGTTGGGGCCTTTACAAAAAAATCAAGGAACAAAATTTCAAAGAAAGATTACTGAAGAACAGTGTAACCGAATTTATTCATTTTTTCACAAAAGATGCTTTCGACTCTCTAGATTAAGTGTGAACAATTTCAGATTTCAACAACAACGAGAAGTTGATTGCATTTTTTTCCAAGCAAAGACTTCATGAAGGGGGTCCATTTTCCATCAGCCACTCTTACTATCTCTGCTTATTGTTTGTTTCATTTCGTGCCTCAGGCTGGGTGACCTACGGTACGTCCACTGAAGGTTTTTCACTGTCTTCCTTTTTAGACTGCTCTGGCTAGGCCAGCAAATTGGTATAAATGCAATTCCTTGTTTTTCTATACTACAGCAACCAACGCTTTTGTAGTACTCTATGAATTATTGTAGTATATAATATCTGATTTAGAAGTAATTACATGTCAATGTGTGTGTGTGTGTGTGTGTGTGTG